GAAGATATTGTGCATCCTTGTCTAAATTGACTGATTGATTTAAGAATGAAAAGATCTTAGAGATGATCGGATTGCTGCCATCACGAGAGAGAATGAAAACTTATCAAAAACCAATGTTCTTTGGGAAACAAAAATTGGCCGCACGTCATCGAAGGCCAACATCCTGAAGTTGCTGTTCGAGGTGGACTTGCTTGCGACGAAAAATTTGATGCTGGTAATAGCAACCAACATCGCCCAAATCATTCTGAAAAGCCGAAGTATCAGACATCATTAATCCTGGTACTCGGTCTTTCATCTTTATGCCTCAGATGAAAATGACAACAACAACGAGGAGGTTGCGGCTTTTGGCCGATATTCTAATTCTCTTAAAGTAAACATGAAAATAAATTAAGGAATAAACAAATATATGAAAATGATCAAAAGTAATCTATTCTTCAGCAAGAAGAAACCTAGATATACAGAACAAGGTAAAACATGCATGAAAACGTGCAAACTGCTGAGGAAGCACCGTCCGCATATGATATAAGACTATGCTATTTGAAAGGTTGAATTTAGGACCAGAACGAGAAACAAAAAGAAGTGGTGATACAATATCAGTTAGGCCTCTCTACTGAATACCCAAACAAATCAGTAGTGCGTTTTAAAGCCTTCTGGATCTCAGAAAACCAGGACTAACGCTGAGATAAATGAACAACGATGAAACTCGATAGATGAATACAAGCTGACGGCATCGTGCAGTTTCAGAAAGAGCACATCATAAGCAGTGGGAAAGTTTAGAATATACAGAATTTGCTTCGATCGTGGAATATGAGTCGTGGCGACCAGCGACTGTCGCGAACTATCCCGGTATTCATGACAACATATAAAGCATGACCATGACGATCGCCATCCAGAATCGACTCTAGAATGATCACTCGCATGTTGGCAGAGCCGTCACATATTCTGTAAAACAAAATCCACGGACGAACAGGAGGCCGTAGCTATGACTTGTCAAATTTTTCGCCACGCCGTCTATCATCTGTGAACCAGAAGGACAGTTGTGATCGTGGTCATCAGTCGAGTATGGCAGACCGCTGTGCCAAAAAAATGTACCCTGTGTCGATGATCACATCGCGTTGTTCATAACAAGTGGGCTACTGGTGTAAGCTGTATTGTCCATATATATCATGATCTGC